GTTGTCGTCGTTGTCGTCGTTGTCGTCGTTGTCGTCGTTGTCGTCGTCGTAGCTGTTTGTAAACACGATAACCCAAAAAATAATTGAGATAATCAAAATCTGGAAATGCCAAAAGTTTTGTATCCGAAAAACTTAGTTTAAGTTCGAATATGAGCCATTTTCGATTTGATCCTGGGGTACTTGCCCTAAGAAAAACCTCAAAAAATTTACACTTTTGTAAGGGAGGTACCCGTAAATCGACTTTGAATGGGTTCAAACTTTCTGAGATTTAATTTTTTGAGAAAAAAATAAGATTCTGAAAGTTTTAAACCAATCGGAATCGATTTACGGGTACCTCCCATACAAATTTTTTGAAATTTCGACTAAAATTACCGATTTTTGGATAATTTTGTATGGGAGGTACCCGTTAATCGATTCTGATTGGCTTCAAACTTTCTGTGGTTTCATTTTTTGGAGAAAAAATAAGATTCTGAAAGTTTCATGTTGATCGTTTGCAGAAGTTTGATTTTTTGTCCTCAATTTTTGTCGACATTTTTTTGGAAAAAAATTAAGGGCCAAAAACCAAACTTCTGCAGATGCGATCAACATGAAACTTTCAGAATCTTATTTATTCTCCAAAAAATGAAACCACAGAAAGTTTGAAGCCGATAAGAATCGGTTTCCGGGTACCTCTCATACAAAATTGTCGAATTTTTAGTTAAAATGACCGATTTTTCACTTTATTTTCATTATTATATTTTCACTGCCTTTATTTCGAAAAAATTCACAAAAAATAACCAAAAGTACCAACGGACAACGCCGGCCAACGGTACGGAAAAGTTCGGGATTACCAATGTAATTCTTTTTATTTATTGAGATTTTCCCATTGCTACATTTAGATATATTTATTTGACCAAAAAAATTTGAGAAGAAAGTCTCATGAAAACTTTCCATGAAAACATTTGGTGAAATAGGCTACAGATTTCTTATTTGTTCTTCAAACAATGAATATTTTGTTCTCTCTTTTTTTTGCAAAGAAATGATAACCATATCAATTTGCTTAGCTGATATCAGGAAATGATTTGTGTATGTAAGTTCACTTGCAGTGGTTTAGATTGGGATACGTGTTGTGTGCGAATAACATTGTCGCTCCAACAAAATGCTATAGCAAAATTAATATCTTTGAAAACGAATACGACCAAAGGCATTCTTATCACATTTGTCAAGTTTCAAATTGAACCAAATGACGCTTGTATGATGATTTCATTTGCGAAGGTCATAGACTAGAATGAAATGAAATCTATATCCACCAATAGAATTAAAATTTCCCAAACTAATCCAAGAATTTGTTTCCCATAAACTGTGACTCATTATTGATGACTCAATCATCTAGATCATGATCAATATTTGCAGCAGGCGAATGTGGGGGACGTTAATTTGAAATAAAATTTTGCCATAGGATTTCATTTAGCCAAGTGTTTCTTTTCAACAAACAAACATCTTCTTTATTTATTAATTAACAAAAACAATGCTCTGTCTGTATTTGCTATTCATACATTTATCGCGTTATTAGTCGAAATCTGTTTTTTGTTTCACGTTCTGTCGTCGTGAAGAAAGCGACTCTTTCATCGCATTAAAATCGCCTTATCAGCTGCCTTGCGGAAATGATGGATAAACAAGATATACTTGTTCTTCTTATTCTTTTTAAGTTTGTTCACAAAATTTTGCGTATAAAATCCTGTTCTTATGCCGCTTTTTTGCCAGTTCGATTTCTTTACCATTAGAAACTACATCAGATTTAACTGAACAAAACATGTTGGCAAAACACTTTTTCCTGTTCGTTTTTTGGGCATTGGTGGCTGGAGCTATTTTTGTGATGGCTGCTCCAAATTGTAAGTTGTTTTTTTTCTTGATTACTTAGATTTTACTGACTTTTTCTTAAAATTATCAAAGCTACATCTCAAGATTGCCCTGAGAACGAGGTATTTGTGGATGGTGGTCCAGACTGTACAATAACGTGTCGTGGATTAAACCTCAACAAGTGCTGTGTCAACCATATTGCACCTGTGAAAGGGTGTTTCAGCAGAAAAGGCTACGCCAAAGCTAAGAATGGTACCAGCATTCCAATTAATTCAATTGACTGCCAAAATGAATTGAACGATGAATGCGATTGCGGTGATTTGGCTTGTGGAGGACGACCACTGGAATGAAATGAGAACGTTGTACGAAGCTTCAAGAAGCAGTTCATTTTCAGGAACTACTCATAGTGAATTGGTTGGAGGGAAATAAATGCTTGTTGATAATTTGAATAAATTTGTTTTGGTTAATTGTCTTTCCCAAGAAATAGATTCAGTAGAGTAAACTAAAGCAGATGACTGTTTTTTTAATTTAAATTTCGAGGTCATTTCTCAATGCTCAATTTACGTGCTTATCTCAAGCTAAATGATTCAAGTGAACCTTTTTCTTTAAATTTTGCAATTAAACGCAGCTGAAAAATTCATTTTCCAAATCATATAAAGAGCTCATAGCAACTAGGTGGATCGTGATCGTACACAAGGCAATACATGCATGGAATATACATTTATAATCTGCTTGGTGCCTGCCACCAGCTCAGAATACCAGCGCACAAGTGTTTTAAATTCATCTGAGATTTTAGCTACGATCGCGGAATTATTGTTCGATAAACAATGTTTATAATGAATGAATGACATTTATTGCTCTTGGTTTTGGGTACTTTTCTTTCTAAGTGCCACTGGAATGATGCAACGAGAGAAAATTTGTGTTTGTATTTCGTCGTAGGAGACGATAAAAAATAAGGCTGGCAAATGCATTGATATCTACTATGACCATCGTGCTTGAATGTGGAAGGCTATGAACTCATAAAAGTTCCAATTATGGATGAACAATATTTGTATTATGCCAATTGAATAAGCAAAAATACCAATAGTGATGTTCCTATGAAATTTCTTTTTCTATTAATAACATTTTATTATCTTGTAAGTAAATGAACTTGGTTTTGTTTTGGGACAATTTTAACGACGAAAATTGTTTTCAAAAATATTTCGTTGACATGTGGGTTTGACTGAAAACAGGTTGAATTCGGTGCAATAATATTTTTAGCGATTAAGCTGTAGCGCATTTACGAATGTCAGTGGTGCTCTGTCAACTTGTACTATAATATTATATATCATTATAATTGATGACTATTTCGAAAAAATCGAATCGAAAGCAAACCCAATTTCGTTTGGTTGAATGGTATCACTTGCGACAGAGTGAACACTTGCGATTCTTTTTTCGTTCTGACAGAATGCAAGCCTGTGTGTGTTTCTCAACGCACCGTCGATTTTAAGCTTGAGAAATCGCTTATGAATATTTGCTCTAGATAGAGAAATGGCTGAATGCAATTTCGAAATATCTCCAGAATTTTCGGAGAGTTTGAATGTATTGACACGACAGTATGATATATGCATCACCACACACAAAAATAAATGCATGCTTAGTGTATAAATATCCCCTCTTCATTGCACTGCATTCACAATTGTTTTGAGCATCTCTGTGAAGATATCACCGTGAATTAATTTTCTCTGAAGGAAAAATCAACTTGAATTTATCATTTGTGATGAAGCCGGATTATATTTTGAGTTTAACACTTTGTGTTTTTTTCGTTGGAAGTGTCATTGGGCTGAAACAACTACCACCTGGTATGTTCATATTTTTCTTTTATTATTTAAATTATTCTAAATCGTTAAAATAAGTGACTAAAATCTATGGCAGAGCCCAAACCAATACCAGTGTGCCCCAAACCGTATCAAAAATGGGTTGTCGGAGCAAAGGCTTGTGGAAACTTTTGCGAGAATTTATGCTGCTTCTGTTGCTTAGAGACTTTTGCCATTGTAGAAAGATGCGACTGCATAGACGGCTACGCAATGGATGATGACGGCAATTGCATTAAAATTGATAGCAAATTATGTAAAAAATTAATGCGAAGAACTCGTAACTGTCTCCCTTGTAGTACCATATATCCAAGCAAAAAACCAAACCCACAATCACATCGTGATTTTTTTTAACCGTTCTCGCATTCGTTTTTTTACTCTTCATATGTATCAATGAAATGTACTGTGGCAACAGTCAAAACTGCTAATTTCAACATAATTCTAGTGAAATTGTAATGAATAACATAAAAACAATGATTGAATAAAATGAAATTTTATACTGATTGTACACAAATGTGTCACGAATTCTCTTTCTTTATGAAGTGATAAAAAATCGAGCGAAAAAAATAATGACATCATTTCAGGCAAATCTCTGGTCTCTCACCAGGAAGATTTTGTTTTCATTCAGATTTTGTTCGCTGTTGAAAAAAACAAATGTCGATCAAAATAAAATGATGATATTATTGTTTATTCAAATGTCTTCTTCATTGTTGCTGAGTTGGGAATTGCTTCTCCGCTTCACAATTGCCAATATGAAAATGATGATATGAGATCATAACTTACAGGCGGCCGGCTACCAGATTCATTGTCAATAAAAGCAACACAGTCTCGCACTCACCATTCATTTTATTGTTTATTTATTGGTCGCTTCATTCAATAGCGAATAAAAATGAATATAATCACAAATTAATCGGTGTATTTGAATTCAAATTCATCAAAAAATAATCTTTTATTATTTTTCAACAGAGAAAAACGTCTGTTCTCACATTTGTTTATTTTTTCTTTCGTTTTTTCATTCTTTCTTTTGCTATCTGCTGTTGGCTGGTTGTCTCTTTTTTTTTATTGAAAATGTGGAAATAAATCCCATTCAAAATTTATTAATGGTTCTACCAGTGTTGTTCATTTTTCGAACGAAAATCCCGCATATGCGTCTTATCTTTTATTAATTTCCAGATCAGCGTCAAAATGAATTTCAACATTGTTGAATCAACCAATATAATAGATGTTGTGAGCCAAAGGAAATACAAATTACCTGCGATATCGGCGTAGCGACGCATTCAATTCCGCACAAAACGCACCGACAAAAAACTCCAGCCAATAAAATTAATATTTACTTCAGATTGACTCTTTTTTCTCTCTTCTTTTTGGCTCGAATTTGGTGCTGAATTTGCGTTGATGTTGAATTATAGAGAAAAAAAAGCGTAGTTGGAAGAAAGCCATAATTATTCATCGGATTATCGATTCATGTCTTTATTGAGCTAATGGTAATAATTTTGATTGTGAGAATAAGACAGCACCAAAAATGGTAGAAAACGATTCGCCGTAACATCCAACGAACGAACATTAAACGAAGGACAAATTAATAATTTTTCATTTTTAATGCTCTTGCTCGCTCACTTGCGCCGTATCGAGACCGGTGAATTGGATATGTCTAATAGACATTGTCTATTATGGTGGGAAGATGTAAACAAAACTATTCTAAGCCTATGAAATCGCCAGCTAAAAAAGAGGTTTCTTTGTCATAGGCAAACAAAAAATCGAGCAACTGATTGATTTCTTGTCGTCATTATTATTCACTCATCGATTTTGATCGTAAAATAAAGTGTTGTGCAGTGTGAATGAAAGTATTTAGGCCATTTTAAGCCTCGGAAATCTATTTCAGATAATAGCACAGAAGTTAAACACCGAGCATCAAGCATCAAGCGAAAGTTGAACATGGAACGTTTTGTCGGCTGGGGAAAAAAACGCAAAAACGAATCAATTCAAAATGTGGAGCACAAGTTTTATTAGACATTAGACGAGAGGGTCATAAAATCGTTTGCATGGGAACTTAACTCGCAGTGAAGGTATTTTTCCCAAATGTGAACACATAAAAATGAGCAAATAATGTCGAAAATCAATTGGATCGCCCGAAATGCAGATGATTTTTTGATGTGAGAGAAAATTAGAATGCAAATGATAGCAAACACACAAAAAATAACTTAAACTGGTATTTAAGAAACCAAAATGCTTAAACTTTATAGGGGCGCTCGAGAATTTCGTAAATTTATTGCTCTGTTGCTTGCGGTTGTTGTTCAACGGGATATTATCATACAGATGGTATTCAATTCATTGTGGTGTTTTTTTTTCTAATGCAAAATTTGGTTTGAAGCAGAAAAAAAGATAGAAATAAAAAACCCAAGAAAAAACCAGTACAATAGAGACAGAGAAACAGAGACGAATGGCATGGAGCAGTCATTCGACGTCAATTCGAACATAATTTGTTGAATATTATTGATGTTGTCACTATATAAAGGAGAGAAATATGGTCATGAACGCTGGCGATGATGAAGATGGGTTGACTGCAACCGACACACACACACACACACACAGCTCTGTCTGTTAAAGAAAAAAAATGAAGATAAATTCCGGCTGAACAGACATACCAAATTTATTTAGCATTCAAATTGAATTTCATAGACCACGAACTCGATTTGGATTTTCAACGATCAATGGCTAATGGTTTTCTTCTCTAAACGCTCGATGATTTAGAAGAAATGAAACCAAGAGAATAGGAAGAGAGAGAGAGAGAGAGAGAGAGAGAGAGAGAGAGAGAGAGAGAGA